TTGCCATCGCCTGTGCATTGTCTCACGTTGGTAGGCACTCACCAGAGGCTTCTTCCTTTCCCTTAACCCAATTATAAGCTACTTGAGGGTTGGGACCAATTTGCATATTTCTTAGTAGCAAGAATCAAGGCTTTGGTGTCTGATGGGAACTTAATAACTCATCACTAACTATGTAAATGCCACTTTCCCCTGGATTCCAGCCTTATCCCAAACAGCCTGCTTCAGAGATGTGAAGATGTTGGGAAGCAGCAGGTATTGGCTCAAGTAGTTGGGCTCCTGTCACCCACGTAGGAGACCTGGATGGAGTTCCCGGCTGCTGCTGCAGCCTGGCCCAGCCCCAGCTGTTGTGAGCATCTGGGGAGTGAACTAGTGAATGGAATGCTTGTGTCTGTCTTTCTGACTCTCTACATTTCAAATAGATAATAAATAAATGAATAAGGTGAATAACTTGCTTTCTGTGTCCCTTGCCTCCTCAGAGCTTTGCTACTCTTCTCTCTCACTTGTTCTGGCTCTTGCTTTCTCTGACCCTCTTGTGTGGACACTGCCACCCAGGCAGGAGATCTGGCTTCCCCATCACTCCCTAGCTATGTGCACTCGTGCCGACTACCTTGCCTCTCGGCATCTCGGTTTTCAAATCTGTAACGCGGGGATGGATACCCAACGTGCTGCACAGTTACAATGAGATCACCTGAATGATGTGGTGGTGCCTGAGGCCTAGTAAGCGGCTGACTGCGCTCTCTCTGGAACCCTCTTTCTTTACAACTGACATGAGGCTGCCATCTCACGAGCCCTCAGCTGACTGCAGTGAGGGGCTAGACGGGGTTCCAGGAGAGGACCAGGTGCCCGGCGTGCTCCTGGGTGAGGGAACTTGGGTGTCTGCTCCAGCTTTGAGCAGTAAGCATCTGGCTTTCTCAGTTGTGTGGGTCCACAGCTCTGTTCCTAGCCACAACCTCTCATGCAGCCTCAACAGCTCCCCCTCTACTTGCAGGGTGGCAGTCCCAGCCTAACCCATTTTGGTTCTTGGCCGTTTTCCTCACTGACTCCAACTTTGTGCTGTAGTGGAGAGCAAGGCTAGAAGGTTTTGTTTGGTTTGGAGATTTGCATTTTTTTCAGATCATGCCTGCTCTCCCCTACTAAGCTTTCTGGCACATTTCCAGATCACTAGGATTGCGTGGATGTGTTCATGGGAATGCACCCTGAGGTCCTATTGAGCAGAGAGCACCACTGAGTGAATGGGAACCAAAGAAAGCCAGGAGTGGTTCTTTTGGACTCATCATAATAGACCTTCGACCAGTCAGCAACCTGTTCTTAACCATTCCAGTATCAAGAAGTTGAGGCTATGGAACAGAAAGGAATTCACCACCAGGCAGAACTCCTGAAGGCCGCACAGCATTGCTAGAGTGTGGTACAAATGGCCCTTGAGAAGTGACTATGGGGAAACCAGTAGGATGATGTCTCTGGGCTGCCCCGGCCCTGAAGCTCTGCAGCACAATTGACGTGTCAAGTGGTGGAAGGATCACAGAAATTTCAAAGGACAAAAACATGTTTGACTTCATTTGGCTAAGCTTTTATCAAATGATGCTAGCAGAAAAAAATGCTTTTTTCCTGCATAACCACTAGGAACATTTTATGGAGAAATAATCTGTCAACTTACATGCAGCTGCAAGCTAAATTCTGTGCACAAATGTAGGAGCTCACCCATTCATTCATTCAAGGAGACGTTTGGGGACCTGCTGTGCCCCAGACACAGATGCAGCAATGAACAGGAAGACACCATCCCTGCCTGCACTGGGTTTCCATTCCCGTGGCCATGGATGGACAGTGAGTAAATCTGTGAAACATTCGCTCTACCGCATGGTGAGAGGCTGGAGAGCAATCATCTCTCTCTGCACAGAAGTAGACGGGGACTCCAAGGGTGAGAGCAATCAGGGAAGTGTCTGGAGCTCAGCCCCCATGGCCATAAGACAGACAAGAGAAACATCCAGAGCCTGGTCAGCCCCAAAGACAGCGAGGAAGAGGCTGTGCCCACTGGGTTTGGAAGGCTGCAAGAAGGCTAAGAGCCCGCCAAGGGAGGGAGGGAGGAGTGAACGGATAGAAGAAGCAATGGTCAAAGCACGATATTGGAATGATATTGCAAGAAACTCAAGAGACTTGGAGAGGAGGGATGCTAGGAAGGTCAAGGGCAGAAGAAGGCTTTGAATCCAAGCTGGAGGAGTGACTAAGCAGCAGCATTAGTTAGAAGAAGCAAATCTGAGCTTTCTGGACATGGATTGCAGTCATAAAAGGAGACGGAATGTTGAGAGCAGAGCTCTGTGCTCTGGAACTGAAGTCGAGTCTCCAGTCTGTGGCTCAGTCGTCACAACCTCAAGACAGGAGAGTGGCGTGGCCCACCCAGTATTGTGCAGTTCCTGTGTGCCTGTGTGGCGTGTACTGCCGGAAGGCCAGATTTCATTCTGAAGGGCGGGGGATTCAGGAAATAACCCCACAGAAGCAGATAACACAGGGACCCAGCAGCTTCCTGTGTCCAGAGCTGAATATGTGAACTGGTATTTCTTATTGTGCTTCAGGGAGAGGCAGGGTCTGGTCTCTGTGACAAGCTGCACATGTTTCTTGCTCAAGACACTTCCTCTCAGCCCTCAACCCTCAGTGAAATATTAATTAGGTACTCTTGTCCATCACAGTCTACAAACGGGGAAACCGTCAGAGCAGTTGGACGGCTCAGGTCTTCTAGTAAAAGAACTCCTGGAAGAAGAGCCAGGAGAAGGCTCCAGCCCTTTCTCCTGCCGAATGTGACTCATTCCCAAAATCTAACCACGTCCCCTTTTAAAACTTTTAATTGTGGTAAAAATACAAACATAACATAAAATGTACCATATTAACCACTGTAAAATGCACAGGTCAATAATGCTAAGCATTCACAATGCTATGCACCCGGAAGTCATTTCATTTTACAAAACTGAAGATCTGTATTCATTAACTCCCTGTTAACTGCTGGCAACTGACATTCTCCTTTATGTCTCATGACCCTGATCACATGGAACCTCATGTGGGTGGGATATGCGGTTTTTGTCCTTTTATGTCTGGCCTTTTCACGTAGCATAATGTCCTTCAGATGTGTGTGAGAATGGTTTCCTTTTGAAGGCTGAATACTATTCCATTGCATGGATGTACTACATAACCTCTACACATTCATCTGTCCATAGGCACTTGGTTGCTTTAACCTTTTGGCTTTTGTGGATAATGCTGCTAGCAACATGGGTACGCGAATATTCATTTAGAACCCTGTTTCCAATTCATTTGGACATATACTCAGAGGTAGAACTGTTGAACCACATGTTAACTCTATTTTTATTTTATTTTTTGAGGGGCTGCCACACTGTTTTCCATTGCAGCTGCACCATTTTACCTTCCACTACCAAGAGTGTATGAGAGTTCCAATTTCTCCACAACACTAATTATTTTTATAACAGCCATCTTAGTGGGTGTGAGGTAGTGTCTCCTCATGGTTTTGATTTGCATTTCCCTAATGGTTAGTCGTGTTGAGCATCCTTTTATGTGATTATTGGCCATTTATATTTCTTCCTTGGAGGGATGTCTACTCAGATCTTCTGTCCATTTTTTTTAATAGGGCTGATTGTTTGCCAGCCAAGCATTTTTAATAATCACTGAGCTAAGGTAATAAGTGTGAAGAAATAGGTCAAACTGGGATAAGCGTTTATCTGCTCAGGCTCCAAAATTCCAGCTGACTGACTTCCTCACCTACACACGGCCATGGCCAAGTTCATGATCAGAGTGCTTGTTGCTGTTTGTAGTAAGAAATTCCCCCAGGACCAGCACTATGGCGTAGCACGTAAAACCACCTCCTGCAACGCTGGCATCCCATATGGGTGCCAGTTCTAGTCCCGGTTGCTCCTCTTCCAATTCAGCTCTCTGCTGTGGCCTGGGAAAGCCGTGGAAGATGGCCCAAGTCCTTGGGACCCTGCACCCACAATGGGAGACCCAAAAGAAGCTCCTGGCTCCTGGCTTCCGATTGGCCCAGCTCCAGCCATTGTAGCCAATTGGGGAGTGAACCAGCAGATGGAAGACCGCTCCCACTCTCACTCTCTTTCTCTCTCTCTCTCTCTCTCTTTCTCTGACTCTCCTTCTCTATCTGTGTAACTCTGGCTTTCAAATAAATAAACAAATCTTTAAAAATAAAAAAAAAAATTCCCAACCCCCACAGAATGGCTGATAAAAGCCGGCAGCTTTAGGATTCTATCTTTCATCTAAACTGCATTTAGAAGAAATTATTCAAGTTTTTAAGGAAGTGCCTTTTGGGGCCAGAATTTTGGCACAGTTTGTTAAGCTGCTGCTTGTGCCACTGGCATCTCATATAAGAATGCTGGTTTGAGTCCTGCCAACTCCTCTTCCAATCCAGCTTCCTGTTAATATACCTGAAAAGATAGTAGAGGATGGCCCAAGTGTTTGGTTGCTGCCACACTTGGGGGAGGCCGGGATGGAGTTCCTGGTTCCTAGCTTCAGTGTGGCCTAGGTATGGCTGTTGTAGGTTCTTGGGGAATGAAGCCACAGATGGAAGATTCTCTCTCTCTTTCTCTCTCCCCTGACCACTCTGCCTTTCAAATAAGAAAATACACAAATATATTTTTTTAAATGCCTCTGGGCCGGCGCCACAGCTAACTTGGCTAATCCTCTGCCTGCGACGCCAGTACCCTGGGTTCTAGTCCCAGTTGGAGCGCCAGATTCTCTCCTGGTTGCTCCTCTTCCAGGCCAGCTCTCTGCTGTGGCCCCGGAAGGCAGTAGAGGATGACCCAAGTCCTTGGGCCCTGCACCTGCATGGGAGACCAGGAGGAAGCACCTAGCTCCTGGCTTCGGATCGGTGCAGTGCACCAGCCGTAGCGGCCATTTGGGGGGTGAACCAACGGAAGGAAGACCTTTTTCTTTGTTCTCTCTCTCTCACTGTCTGCCTGTCAAAAATAAAAAGTGCCTTCTGTCTTTTGCAGCCCAATTGCAAGTATTCGTACAACCACCGCCACAACTGTTCCTACTATCACCCTGGCCATGGCTGCTACGACTGCCCGATGCGGATCAGGGCTCACTCCCAAATACTCACCACATCTGGCACCCCCACGACCAGCATCAGTCTGTATTGACATGCACAGGTGAGAAATAACCAGCCACTCAAATCATCTGATTGGCTAGAACTCCTAGGTGTCTGAAAATGAGAAGAAAATGTGGGTGTTTCTTTTTCCTTTTTTTTTTTTTTCTTCCATCCCAGAGAATAATGAAGCTCGTGGTCAGGAATGTTAAGCAGCAGCTTCCATCAGGCTGGGTAGTTTGTAGAGATTAACTTACCCCCTTGGCATGTTCAGGAACCAACCAGAAGGCTCTCCCAAGTCAAGCAATTTTATAATTAAGTGATAATTGTTTTTTGGAGGTTTTTTTTTTTCCCTCCTGAGTAGCCTAGAGAAAGATAAACAGCTTCAAGAATCAATCGGCATCAAGGTCATAGGCTGAATTATTTACTGATTCTCTGCTATTTATCTCAAACTTTCCTCTCTACGAGGAAAAATTGTATCTGCTTCACAGAAGATTTAGAACGTACCTGGTTTGGTTTCACGGTCATTGTTACTGTCTTTTCCTTTTTAAAGACTGAGCAACATTGCCGTTCACCCCCTCCCGTAACAGAGCCTGGAGACGGAAAGCAGGAAATCAGATGCCAGGACTCGTTCCTGGAGCTGGGTCCAGGTGGGTGAATCTTGGCTGGGACCCTGAGCTGTAGGAGGTGCAGGTGGAGGAAGGGGCCTGGGGAGGGCTTTGGGCCCTTGTCCATTTGTCCACTGCCATGAAGACTGCAGCACCTGCCAGGCGCATCTCCCAGCCCTCTGCTTTGTCACATCCCATGCTGCTGCAGGCTCTCCGCTGTGCAGGCCACCCAGACATAAATCTGTGGCTTCTGTGTGAGGAAGTCCTCTGGGTCTTCCTTGCCCTCCAGGGGCATCTACATTATCTGCCTTCCAACGGGGCCTTCAGGAACAACCCCTCTCTACCTTCCTGGCCTCAAATCCTGTCTGCCTCTGCACAAAGACACGAACAACAACCTCCAGCACACCGTGCTCTGTCCTCACAGGTTCAAGTCCCCTGCTGGTCCCGCTGGGATGGCCTGTCTCTGGCTCCCAGAACAAGCCCTGCTCATCTGAGCTTTACCATCTCCCTCCCTCCAAGGCTAGGTGTTTGCTGCTTCCTGCATCCTCCCAGAGCTCATGGCACAGCCCTCTAGTGATACACTCTCATCATTTATAATAATTCTATGCATGTCCCATGATAGATGGTCAATCAGTTATTAGTGTATTCAGTGAAGGGATCTCATATGCTACCTGGGGCTCCGGAGAAGGAAAGAGGACTCTGGCAAAAACTTTGCCCATAGAATCTTGCTGGAAAATTCTAACAGCACCTGTCTGCAAAGTGTCTTGCTTGCCTTTGATAGAACTTCACCCTGACAAGGCATAGCTCTGTCTCTTTCAGAACAGCACAATATATAAAAATTCAGTATTACCAGCCTGATACCTTGGGAGACAGTTATCTATTTAGACAGGAATTGCAATTCCTCTGAGCAAAGCTGCCCACTTCCATGTACTTTACCATTGAATCAATTTGTATACAAACTTCAAAGAATGTGCCTGTTCTCTAAAGCAACAAGACACTTGTAGCAAACATACCCACGTTTTGATGGATCACTAACTCTTTCAGAGTATTAACATATTGGTTTGGAGCTTTAGGAATGAAAAGAGCTTAGGGGGACGGTACAGCCTAGTCTACATATCTCGGCCAATTCTGAATTGAGTTGGAAGCATCTGTCAACCTATATAAGAAATAGCAATGGATAATCAGAGAAAGAGAAGATGAGAGAGAGAGAGAGAGAGAGAGAGAGAGAGAGAATAATGTATTTATTTGAGAACACCAGGGCATTGCAATGGGAATAGTAGAGCCTGGGAGTGTGAGTGCCACCGTAAACTAGGGGCAGAATCAGGGAGGTTGAGGCAAGGCAAAGTTCTCAAAGGCAAAGCAAGGATTACGTCAGATGTCTTGGATCAATAATCTCTGGCCACAAGGATGAAGAACCAGGGGGATGTCACGCCAAGTTGCAAAGCCGGTTGGTGGACAGATGTCCCTGGAGTGCTTCTTTGTCCAAGGTTGTGCTGGCCTCTGGGAAATGCTGTGGTGCTTGGCAGAGTCACAGTTACATGTGCAAACCCTTTCTTTGTAACTTCCTGGATATTGATATTTGATATTTTCGTTGATGTTGACAGAGTGATTCTGTTTTGATTCTGATAGCTTCCACACTCCTTTCACACTGCCATTCTCCACATCCAGGGAGTTACTGAATATACTTCTGGGATGCATTTGCACTTTTACTTCTTTGGCAGGTCAGGCTGATGGGTAAGGGCATTTGTTAAAGCACCCCTGCATGTCTGTGTGATACCAGGTATTTAGATGGGAAGCTGCTTGCTGATCTAGGTAAGTAATTCAGACTTTTCCTTTTTCGGTTGGTACTCTTTTTCCATTGGTGTTTGGAGTGTTTTGTAGGTGAACCTCAAAGCCCCTGGCGCCCCAGGCAGAGTGCACTTCCCATCCTCAGAGCTGTGGGTGTCGACACTGGCTCTAGGCTGGGGTAGACCTCTGGCCACTGCTTTTGCAGGGCCATGTGCCCCTTCTCCTGAAAGGGCTTTTTGATCCCTGTGAAGGGTGCAAGTCCCCGGGATGCATGCATGCATGCATGTTCCCTCTTGCTTTCTCTCTCTCATCCACCCCCACAACTGCTAATGAACTCAGAATCAATCTGTCTGGTCGTTTGATGAGATTAGAGGACTCTCACTAGTCTGGCAACTGCTCGGAGGAAACCAGATGCAGCAATCAGTACATTGTGAGCTCCCTCTCCCTCTGCATCTCTGATATTGATTAAGTGATGCCACCTTGGGGCTTGAGCCTGATAAAGCGTCTCACAGAAAGCCAAGCAGTGGGTCTCCACACAAGCCTGGCTGTTACTCTCCAGCCAGGCCTCCGGATGGCTTAGCACAAGCAAGGTAGCCCTTTGGAGACTCCAGATTTTTTTTAAAAGATTTATTTATTTACTTGAAGGTCAGACTTACACACAGAGAGAAGGAGGGGCAGAGAGAGAGAGAGAGAGGTCTTCCATCCACTGGTTCACTGCCCAATTGGCTGCAATGGCCAAAGCTGTGCCAGTCTGAATCCAGGAGCCAGGAGCCTCCTCTGGGTCTCCCAGGTGGGTACAGGGGCCCAAGCGCTTGGGTCATCTTCCACTGCTTTTCCAGGCCATAGCAAAGAGCTGGATTGGAAGAGGAGCAGCCGGGACTCCAATCAATGCCCATGTTGGGTGCTGGCATCGCAGGTGGAGACTTTACCAGCTACGCTACAGCACCAGCCCCAGATATTCAAGGTTTTAATCTGATGCAGTGTTTGCTTGAGAAGAGATGTTCTAGAGGTTAGGTAGGTGCTGGAGGCTTGCTCGGCCATACCATCAACTCAGTTCCAGGAATCCAATTCAATTTGTTCCAAATTCCAATCCTTAGCTTTTGTCACCTAACGTACAGAGAATGGAGGGTAGTAATGTCTCCAATGTGACCAATGGGAGAGAATCACACATGGGAATAAAGCAAGAACAAGAGTGGCATCAAGAAGAGCTGAGGCAGGAAGAGCAGAAGGCCTGCATCCTGGGAAAAGCTGGGCATGGGAGCTGTGGATCCTAGGTGATGTGGCCACCCTGTGCCCCCTGAGAGCAGGTGCACTCCTTCTCCTTTTGTGGTGGAGTCAGCCGGTGGAGGTTTAGAAGGGAGAAGCCCTCATTTCAAGGTACACAAATTGACATTGAATCTATGTGTGTATTTTTTTTTTTTTACTACCAAGTCACATTTAATACCTGTTCCTGGATGGTCTCCACTTTATTTTTTTAAAAGATTTATTTATTTATTTATTTGAAAGGCAGAGAGGCAGAGAGAGAGAGAGAGAGAGAGAGAGAGGTCTTCTATCCACTGATCTACTCCCCTGATGACTGCAACGGCCAGAACTGCACCAATCTGAAGCCACGAGCTTCTTCTGGGTCTCCCAGGCGGGTGCAGGAGCCCAAGGACTTGGGCCACCTTCCAGGACATAGCAGAGAGCTGGATTGGAAGTGGAGCAGCCGGGTCTGGAACTGGCACCCATATGAGATTCCAGCACTGCAGGCAGTGGCTTTACTCACTATGCCATAGCTCTGGCACTCAGTCTCCACTTTATTAGAGACCAGCAAGAAACTACTTGTTTCAAAGAAATATGTTTGCTGACTTTAGATAAAGTTAGCAAAGGTAAGAGCAGCAGGTAGGTTGTAGATTCTCTTTGCAGAGTCTTTGTCCCCAGTTTAAAAACTAATAGTATTTTTTCATTATTTTCTTTTTTTTTTATTTTTTGACAGGCAGAGTGGACAGTGAGAGAGAGAGACAGAGAGAAAGGTCTTCCTTTGCCGTTGGTTCACCAAACTCCAAGGGCCGCCGCGGCCGGCACGCTGCGGCCGGCGCACCGTGCTGATCTGATGGCAGGAGCCAGGTACTTATCCTGGTCTCCCATGGGGTGCAGGGCCCAAGCACTTGGGCCATCCTCCACTGCACTCCCTGGCCACAGCAGAGAACTGGCCTGGAAGAGGGGCAACCGGAACAGAATCTGGCGCCCCGACCAGGACTAGAACCCGGTGTGCTGGCGCCGCAAGGCAGAGGATTAGCCTATTGAGCCGTGGCGCTGGCTCATTATTTTCTTTAAATGAAATATCATAAATATTGCATGAGAAATTTGAGTTACTATGCAAAGTTACCAGGTCTCTTGGGCAAGGAAAATTAAAGAGTTACTAAATTAGTTAGGATTTTTTTTTTCTAAATGGCTATTACAAAGAGATTCATCCAATAGTAGTGCTTAAACAAGAATAAAAACTTCAGACACTTTATCAGAACTGCTTCTTAGCCAGTGGGAAGTGGGCAGAAGCATGGGGCTTTTGCACCAGTCACTTTTAAGGCACAAGCTGGAAGTGACAGAGCTTTGTGACATGGTCACACACTGAGAAAACCATCTTGTGGCTGAGCACTGATGAGCCCAGGTAATGAGAAGGAAGGAGAGTCAAATCACATGGGGAGACAACTAACAAGCTATAGTACAGGTAGAGGCCAACGAGGAATACAAGACAACAAGGAACTCAAATTAAGATAGGAGTCTACTGCTTGGATCGAGAATGTGAAAATCAGAGAAAGAGTAACTTAGAACCCGAGGTGGGTGGAACGATGTGTATAAAAAGGGCAGATGCAGATGTGTAATATTGGAGGGTGGGGTTGGAACAGGAAAGGGGTATTAGTTTACCCTCTAGGTCCTAAAATCTGGTTTAAAAATAGCTGAAATGCAGTGTATCTCCAAGCAGTTGGGAAGTTTGATAGTAACAATCACATACAGCAACTGACTCAACTGGGATGAATTTGAAGTGGATAATTCCTTAGTCCTTTACTACACAATCCCCACCTTTATCTCCAGCAATATCCGTCATTCTATTTTGGCTGATTCTTATATAGCCTCTCCAGCTTCCTTGTGGTTAATGTTTGCATCAGATGTTTTAGTACATTCTTGTTTTATATTTAAATAAGATGTCTTATAGACAACATGTAGCTGGATATTGTTTGTGTCTCCAATCTGCCTTTTATGTGATGCATTTAGATGGTTTACATTTAATGTAATTATTTATACGATTGCTTTTGAGTCTATTATCTTGCCATTTGTTTTCTACTTATCCTGTGTGTTCTGTATTTATATTTCATCACTTTCTGCTGGCTTTTGGATTAATTAAAGATTTTATGTGATTTCATTTATATCCATTATTGGCTTATTAGCTGTATCTCTTCTTTTATTTCCTTTTACTGGTTGCTCCAGGGTTTATAATATGCACTTATCACAGGCTGCCTTGAAGTAATATAGTATCATTTCTGGTATAATGTAAGACCCATAAACAGGATACTTTAGTTTTCCCCTCCCATTTTTGGTGCCACTGTGATCATACAAGTGTGGTTTACTTTGCTACATAATATAAAATCTCATTATGTATAGCTTATTATGTATAAACTTATCATTTAAATAAGTTTAAAAGGAAAAAGAGAAAATTATTTACCTTCTAAGTACTTTTTATTTCTTTGTGTTGATGCATCTGTTATTTTTCTTCTTCCAGAATAAATTATTGCAATATTTCCTTTTTAAGGATTTGTTGATTGA